ATTATAGCTCTTTTCTTACCCTCTTGATTCTAAGAGAAAACTAAACCAATGCCGTGATCTGATGCGTTGATATCTAAGGGAAATAACAATCTAACCTAGGAAAAGCCAAAATGGGAGAAAAAGTAAGAGGCACCCTTTAATTTTAGAAATGCTTCTTGACTTTTTAAAGACCATTGAAACCGCTTGTTTTTAATGTCAAACTATGAAGAGGTCTAGTAATATCTGAAAAGCCTTTGATAAATCGTCTATATATAGTACGAGAAAAGTCCTAAGCTCTGATGTACGTTTTTTTTAATCTCAAAATCAGCCATTCCTAAACAGTCTTAATCTTTTCTGGTCTGTTTACTTTCCTCCTTTTGATACAATGTAACTAAGAAATTGAATTTCTTTTTTAAAGAAATTACACTTCTTTTTATTCATTTGGGGATTAGCTTTTTAAAATCGAAGAAACACCTTTTCAGGATTCACTAACATTGTTTGAAACGAGCCTGTTAATATTTTGATGTCATTTAAATAATCTAAGCAAACTTTTTACAATAACCCTACAAGTACTTTTTTCATACGTTGTTCGAAAATTGTTGGTACATCACATAATCTAAATGGAATAAATTTAAATTACCGTAATTCTTGTTTAACAAAAAAAGCTATGATTTCTCTATCTTCATTCTTGATTTTCACTAGCCAGTCTCCACTTCTCAAATCTAATTTAGAAAATCACTATTTTCCTTATAACTTATCCAAGGTATTGTTAGATTATGGTAATGGATGTGAATCCTTAATCTTTGTTGCATTTACTTTCTAAAAGTCAACACAAAATATTGTAGAACCATCTTTCTTTTTCTTGAGGATAACTGGAGAACACCAGGAACTTTATGATCTTTTAATAACTCCTTGTTTCTCCATTTTTGTCATTGTGTCAACTTTCTCTTATTTGTAAATGGAGACTCTTCTTAGTGGCCTAGTTGGTCTTGCTTCTTTCTCCAAGTATACGTTATGCTCGTTCAAATCATTTTGATTGTTCAAACTTTAACATCTGGTGATAATTGAATTCTTTAGAGTTTTTTTGAAAAATACCCTGTAAATTAACTAGAACGCTGTCCTGTAAGCTTATACCCCATCAAACAAGGGCATCATCTTTATCTTGCATATCTATTTTCTAAAATATGAAACTATGAATTTTTTCTGTTAAGCCTATTTTGTCAAAGAAATAATTTCCAAGGATACAATCAACATTTGTATCCGTTGCGTACACAATTATTTTAACCTCATGTTCTCTGAATACCGCAAATGCTTCAACCCTAAACTTTACAGGAACATCTTCATCTGTTAGATACTTCAGTGTTTTAGAATTCATGGGAATTTTAATATCGACTGACCTTACAAATTAAATTTAATTTTTATAATTAAATTCTTAATTTAAAATAGTTACTTGAGAACCAGAATCGATTATAGAATTACAAATTTTATTATTTAATGTACCTTGAAATATATATTCACTAGAATTCTCATTCATCTTTCTATTATTCCAGACAAACTTAAAGAAGCTGGTTAACTGACTGTTAAACTCGCTTCTGAAAGTTCAATAAAACTTATTTTTTCTGTCGATTGAACGCATACAGTTGAGGACAATTTTACTTAACGTGGCCCTTTTTTCCGCAATTCTAGTACTGAACATAAGCAATATTCAAGGATGCTCTTTCCTGATTTATTCCTGGATTAAAATTCAATTGCAGTGCTCTGTATGATCCTGCAAATAACATTAGTCCCTTGAAGTCTCCTATCCCCCTATCCCCTTCAAAAATTGCCTTAACTTTAATTGCCCGTTAAAGAGCAACTCTTGAAGTTTGAATCCTCTCGAATTGAAGCACTTCCGTAATGGAATTATCTGTAATCCCAATAATGAACTATAAAGAAACAATTTTATCATATATAGTAAACGGACACTCAGGCTCAACTACTAAAACTAGCTTTTGTAAATCAGCAGCTAAACTTGAAAAATCTTCTCCCTCTGTCGTAACTTTTTTTTGTTTAGGAGGGAGTCTCGTTCAGCTAAAAGTGTATTTTGCTCGGTCTATAGATCCACGATCATTTTACGAGTATTGAAAAGAGTTGACTTCAACTGTTGGAGTGTCTTCTTATGAATTTCTTATTGTTTGCGTAGTGTCTGACATTTACAGCGATACGTAGTCAAGCTTAACCTGAAAATTGTCACAAATTTTCTGCAGCTAAATCAGTTTGCTTTCAAATTTTCCTATTGTTTCATCCCAAGTCTTTACAACTCACCTTGTGTTTTTTAGCTGATTTTCTGATTTTAGACACCACTGTTTAATCTTGAAATTCTTGATATTCGTATCCTGGATAAGCTCCCAAAATTTTTACGCTTACTGGTAACAACTAAAGCACATTTATTTATAAAACGAAACCAAACTTAATTATAGCAGAAGTGAACAGAAGTAATCACTTCGAGGTTATAATCTGAACACTACTGTTTGTTATCAACAATAACACCTAGCAACGCATAGAACATTTCTTTGACAGTGCGGCAACTTATACTTTCCTCAGCTTTTTATCCGTGTACCCAACAATATATATGATTTTGTTCTCATCGTGTTTCATACGATTTGTATTAACGTCGTACAGTAGATATCACTAACTACAACCAATATAAATTTACTCATATTCTAACAGCGAGTTTCTTCATCCCCTTTGTTTCAGTCTATTTTCAGTACTGGAGAGTATATCTATATTTACGTTGTACAAAGTCAGTTGGGGAAGATTAGCTGCGAGTCTCAAGTGTATCTTCTCAGAGTCCAAATGGCCAAACTTGCGTACTCCCCTCTTCAAGCTGTTTTTTTTTTATATCATAGTGCTCTACGTCTGGCTCCAATAAAGGGCACTACTGAGGGTACTTAGCACTTGGGAGAAAGAAGAAAAGAGGGATGGGAGGCCTTCCATTACTGGGAGGGGAGTAGGGAGAAATTAGGCAATTTTTTGCTGCGAGAAGATCACCCACACCCTCCTCGAGGAGCATTGCGTGGTGAAAAAGCACGTGTCAAAAATCACACAGGTACTTGCCCGAAAAAGTCACACTGGCCGGGAATCGAACTATGGTTTCTCGCGTGCTGACCCACAACCTAGCTGACTGAGCCACCATGCGCTCAAATCTCTCTTCAAGCTGTAGCTGCTTAATTCTGCGTAGAGCTAAGCAAGTGCTAGACTATGGATAGCTTATTCTTGCGCTGCGAAAGTCGAATGCTTAATTAAACCTACGCATTATAGTTTTTTAACCTATTGTATTAAATCAACTTAGATTATCGAAGAGAAGGAAACATTTTAGCTCATACAACAGCAAAATTTTTTCTGAGTAGCATGATATCAGTATAATCTCTGAGAGATATGACAAATCACGGAACTTTTAGATTTCTTTTGGACTTGAAGGCATCAATTTGTCATTTTCCTTTTTTTCAGTGTAAGAAAATTTTGTTAATAGCTAGGACCCTCAAGCTAGCAAAATATCAGTGTAGCCTTTGAAAGGTATGACAAGTCATTGAAGTTTTGGACTCCTATTGGATTTAAACCTTAGTTTCAATATTTTTAATCTTATGTAAAGGAGGTTCGTGGGAGTTCTGCCTTTTTGTGGTTTGATGAATCTCCTTAAGTTTACTCATAAAAATGAGCCACCTCGATAGAGTGATACTTTTACGGTGTACGTTGTAAGTTATATGTATGAAGAAAAAAGAAGATTAAGATTAATTTGAAAACCATGCAAATTTTAACTTTCTGGTGTGTGGATGTACGTCGAGCACAAAAGCGGTGCAATGTTACGGCAAGGGAGATGGAAGCAGGCTAAACAAGGTCTGCTGCTTTTTAGAAGAAACATCTGAAGCCAGGTACTTACAATTCATTGATATCGCTATTCTACTGGCTTAAAATAAGCTGGAAAATACCCAGGGTAAGGCCTATAAGTATTTTTACTGGCGTCACTCATAACTTGAGGTAGCCAAGTCTACTCAGCCTATTCAAGACACTCATTGGTAGCGTTGATCCTCATTTTTACACTGTAGAGCAGACAAAACACCTAGTTACAGCAGATCTCAAAAAGAATATTCTTTACGCGCGCTTGCAGACCTGAGTTAATCTGCTCTGTTGCTTGAATTTTCTCGTTTTCTTCTCTTTCCCCTCCTGTCTCTTCCAGTCCTATTTCCTCTACCTCTTTTCCCTTATACGCGCCTATCTAAAGTATCTTAATGGTACCTCAATATTGTTGCAGTGTATAAGACTTCGCAACTGCTTACATATATATAGTTCTGTTGCGTATGTATGTAATGGTCTGAAATTAAATCTAAAAAATTATTTTATTTCGACATTAAAAAAATAACTTACTATGTTGTTACTACATTAAGTCCTTCTCCAAAATATCACAAAATTGTTCACTTTTTGGTCCCTAGATAAACCAACGTTTTTTAAAACATATGTTTGCATATAAATCTATTTAACTAGTTCAGAATGTTTTAGACTGACACATTTTGCTCAAAATGCTTAAAAAAATACCACAACATATATAAGATCCAGAATAACTATCCTCAGATATTTGATCCTGTTTTAAAAATAAGGGTTGCCTTGCAATTTTTTTATAAAATGTTTTTGGAAAAAGTCATGAATTCTCACAGTCTGATAATAAAGCATTTTTGCCAACTTATAATATTTATAACTTTTAATCTAATTACCCATTGTTCAAATTTCGAGAATACACTTATTTATAAGAACATACTTTATTGAATAGTAAGTCTTAATGCATGCATGGAACTTAAGTAATAACTATAAGCACATCTCAGGTGGTGCTGTAATTGCTGGAGTTCAGCACCAAGGCTTTCTAGCATAAAAGCATTACATATTACGGCAAAGGTTCTATTTTAATAAAATGAATGGATATGGGAATACTTGGAGACGGTAAAAAATGGTGTCAAAATAGTTTATTTAGTGTTTTGGCATTTAATTAATCAGTCAATATACATACATATACTAATATGATATAAAAAGAAATTGATTGATTCTAAACTTAATACCTAACAGAATACGGCTGAGTATATGTATTTTAATATGAATAAATAAATTTCACTTATTTTTAAAATAATCAAACCGATAATCATGTGTTACTTGCTTAGCTCATTCTCAATTCGTTATATTGACAACAGTACTTAAACATCGTCATGCGCAAAAGAAAATAAAAAAAACAAAGTTACGTGAAAACACGCCTTGCTACTCTGGAGTACATAAGATCTCGTGAGCTGGGCATCTCAAATGTTCCACAACGAACCTTGCTTTTAAAAACTTATCAATTATCGCCAAAAAATGTTCTTCGAGTAACAAAATTTTTTACATATACTCGTTGCCCAGTTAATTTTTCTGTGATTGATCTATCACAAAAATGGATAACAAAAATAAAAATAAAAATAAAGAAAATCACTTGGCATTGGGTTAAATAGATACCAAAGAGAAAAGATATGCAACACATTAGTTGGCGTTGAACCATTACTTAAATAATATGGTCGTATTCACTGAATACCACTGGAGAGCGAGAGAGAGAGAGAGAGACATCCGCTGGGACCAGGAAATCACTTCACTGTACAATTTGCGAGATTCTTAAAAAAAATATTTTGTAATATTTTCCAACACATGTCAGACGAAGCCCCATGTATGAGCCTCGTAAGATCCAAGTCACCTTTGGGAGGGGGAGATTAATTAAGTTACCCAAACAAATCATACCTGGATCTGTACAGTCGCGTAGACTGCTGCTTGGCTTTTCTTTAAAGGGTTCAACCTCTTGTTGGTAGCATAAAAACTAAAAGTCAGCAACGATTTTCTGAATTCCAGACCTAAGTTCTCCTTTCTCATCCCATTACCCCTGAAAATGCAAAACTGCGTAAGCTTGTTGTTCCAAAATTTCAGCGCGGGACCGTCTTAGTGACGTCATTAAACTTTTATTGTCTCTTTCTCTCACTAACTATAAGAACTAAAATGTATATATATATATTTATTAGATCCTTGCAATAGTGTTAAAGGGCATTTGTACTGGAGCCAGTCAGTAGCAATATCGATTTAATTAGTGCTGTATAATTTATTGAAAAAATAAGAAATCAGCTGTTAAGTCTCGCTTACTTTTCCATTCTATATAACTCATGTGATATCAGACATGCTGGTATTTATACACCTGTCAAAATAAACCTTTATAAAATAGAAAAAATTCTTATCTTTTTTGTCAGTTAAGGCTGTTTACTACTTTTAAGTGGTTACACTCAATCATAAAACGCAACTACACCGTTTTCAAAAACAACTTGTGTAAAAAATGGCAACATCGATGCTTCATTAACTTATTTGAGTTTCATACATCAAATCCCTGTTGTTGACCTCGAAACTAATAGCTGACTTGCTTTGCAGTAAAATTTGTAGCATAGTTTTTTTTTATAATTAATGCATTAACTAAAGAAATTTAGATTTCAGTGTGGTTAACGGTGGTAATGCTTTTTTAGATGGGTTCTCTTCTGAAACAACCCCCATTTTAAAGTAGGATTACTTAGTACATGGTACTTTAAGTTTAAAGTGACATGCTTATTTTATTACTATTTGAGCCTCTGAATCAATAGTATTGTAATAAACACACGGTGTATGCCATGGTGTCTTCTCGTATCAGCATTTTCTTTGAGTTTTTTTTTTGCATGGATTCACTTCTAAGTAAGTATTTACCATTTGCTCGAACTCATGTGTTTTGTTAAATCTCTCATTCTGCATATATTACTCTCTTCCTGTAGTTTTTACAGCTGGATGTTGTTCTCCTGGTTGCATGGTAGAAGCTCTATTTTTTAAAATTCCAATGGAATATCTGCTGAACCCTCCAGATCCTGCGCTGAGTCCTCGTCATCTTCGAGATCCACGCTGTTCGAGTCTACAGCGCCGTTACCCTTTTTGATTATGACTGAATCTGTAGAAAAAAAAGTTTAGTTTAGTAAAGATTGGAATTGGTAAATTTCTTGCTTTTTTTTTTGATGGATTATTTGACATAAAGGCTTTTTTCTTTAGAATGAAAATGTATGTAGATTGGAATTCACTGAAGTGGTAAGTTTATGAGCCAAGTTTTAAACTATTCAAAAGAATGAAAAAAATTTTCTGGGTGTGGATCGGATTCACAAAATCCTTTTGACTAAATTGCTCTACGACTTAAGCTGCCATAGAGTTACGCATTCACGCGTGCTGTAGATTTTGATAGATTTTATTTTTTACTTATTGAGCTACCTATTTCTAACCATAGTTTAAATTTTATATTTTAAGGGATTCAGTACATTATCAGGGGTTTTTACGTTACTGGTTACTTAACATTTTCATCAACTATTAATTTTATAATATTATTAGTGAAAAAAATAAGCATTAGCAAAAAAAAAAATGCTTTGAAGGATTAATCTAACCCCAACTTATTGCTATAAACTCCAAAGTGATAAAGAAAAATTGCATCACATGGTCATTAAAATAAGTGTAATGATCGACTTTTTTAAATACAATCTTGAAAAATTATTTGTCATCGTCAAAAGACATGAATGGGCTGGGAGTAGTTTCAATAGTATTCCATCTATGTTTGAGCTCAATACTTTGATACATATCAATCAAAAATCTAATCTCTTTCATACATCTGGCTGACTGTATATACTTACAAGTACAGTAAAATCTTTAAAATAGCAGTAAATTATTGGAGACAATTAAAGTTTTTAAAGATGCCAAGAATTTCTAAGGTTTTTATTGTACGCTACATCATTATTATTAAGATTTTTTGGTATAGTTCCTATCCACAATAAATTTGAATAAGTTAAATGCATGATATTAAATAAGATTGTGTGATAATCTCTCAAAATACTTATAACTTTGTTAATATAAGCGCTAGATCAACCAAATTGAAGCAGATATATTTTTGGATAAAACAAAATAATTTTTACAATTTTTTTCAAAATTTAGATATCAAAGTTTAGCCGTTTCGTACTACTGTTGTGCTCTCCCAATACTGTTTTCAATATTATTTCTCATAAAAACTTGTACCTTAGCAAATTTTTCCGTGTGTATTTACCACATCCTTTGTTGTAATAAAAGTCTGTAATGTACACTCAGTGGAACTCTGATCTGTCAGATTACAAATTTGTAAAAATACTCACCTTTACGTAAAGTAAAAGGTTAGGTGGATTTAATATGGTACGTATCTATTTGTTATATGTAATATACAGTAAAGTAACTTTTATAGTGGTAGCTCAATGATTTCCAATAATTTATAAACCATGTTAAATATTTTTAGTGTGACTGATTTAAAAGTATTTAACAAAATGACAAATTTAAAACGTAATGAAATCAATTAAATGTTGTCAACTTTCTTGCAACTTTAAAAAATAGTCATGTACGAAAAATGATTAAATAATTATAATTATCATAATTAAAATATTTAAGAGACTAAAAACGTTTTAAAATAAAATAAGAGATAAAAAAACAAAAATGAGATTCACAAAATAGTCAAGTTTTTAACTACTAGTCTAAATCAAGTCACGTAGGAGAGCGCGATAAGGTAAATTTGAGAAAGTAGACGAAGCCTCGGCGACCTTGCTACTATCCACGTCAAATTTTCATACACGAATTTTCAAATATCGATAAATAAGTATTTTTTTCGGTATACCTGATGTAATTCAGTTAGTTCAGTTAAGCCTCTTTGTCTCTGTTTCACAGCTTTACTGACAAATATAGGTCAAAAAGTCTTTTGAACAACGAAAACAAGACCTGTGTATCTCAAAATGCTTAAATTCATGTTGCAAATTTCTCCAGGCTCAGCCTTGACGAAATGTAGTCTTATCGTTCAGTAAGCTGCAATTGCACGTTGTATTGTAACGATCCACACAGGATCTTAGACTCAAGGCACTAAACACAATTTCTACTCTACACATTTTTTCCAGTGTGTGTGAACATAAGTCTGCTCTACGCAAGTGCAGACACAAATATAAAACCAAAAAAATTCACCCATGGCCGTTAGGCCAAGCAGGGATGAGCGTGTTATTTATGTCATGTTGTTAATTTCGTCACGTAAAATATTATACTTACGACGCGTGATACAAATCAATTTATTATGTTTGGAGGATTTACGACACGTATTGCGTTGTTGGCACAAAGAGCGTGCGTAGACATTCAAAAAAGTACTTAGAGTCAGTACTTTAGTAGACAACAAAAAAGGGATCAAGTCAGGCCATTCAGTCATAAGAAAAGAGCTTTGTGGTCTACATATAATACTATAATAAATATTTTCGTCATCCCCAACTGTAAAGTTTGACGTTAACGTTCGCTTAGTAAGACGTAAAGCGACAAATGTACGGCCACTGGACTTCTTTTCATCCACTGAGCGAGGCGCTTCTATGAGGTCAATGCTTTCAAATGCACACTGAATATCTATCTATCTATCTATCTATAAATCTATCTATCTATCTATATATCTATCTATCTATCTATATATATATAAATACATACATATATATATATATAAGGTGGCCAAGTGTTGTATTTTCTTTTTACGGCCAGACAGTTGTGCGCATTGTCTTTTCATCTTTTCAGTGCCTTCTGCTATTCACCTTTGTCGTTGCGTCGAGTCAGTTTGCGCCTATTTTACTTAACTATAGCATTGCCCGGTTTTTTACCTTTTCTTACTTATCATTTACTGTATGATGTTTCTCATCTTTTGTGTACGTGCAATCTAAATTACTACTATGTGTTTTTTTTACAAAATTTATTTTAAGTTTAGAGTTACTTGTAAATAATGGTGAATAAATTTTCATGGCTAGTGGACTGCTACCATGGAAGTCTCGCGATCTGTATGGAAAAACGTATTCAATACATGGATTGGAAACCTAAGAATAAAGTGTGGTTTAATGAAAGTTCTTTTTTAGTGTACTTTGAAGAACTATAAGAAAAAATATGTATTTTCTTTGCATTCGCTGTTGAATCATGCGTAAGTTTTTTGTGGTCGATCAGTTGGTCCAATTATTGGGCACGTTCGATTATTCATCGTTCATTCATTTGCACTTCATTACGATCTCGATGTATAGGACAAATGCTTATAAGGAACGCACGGTTCACCAAGTGATTCATTTTTCTCTACGTCAACCTACATCAAACTATTAAACAAACTTTCCTATACGGGATGACGAAAAATCGCAAATGTCACTCGGCTGTAAAGTGGCTGATGGACGGCCACGGCATGTCGCCCTCGGGCGACACACTCTCCGTAGTCGTACATCAGCCACTTTATGGCCTCGTGAAGTAATTTACGATTAGGTAAAAATATCTTACCTTTCTGCATTAATTTTTCTAAAATCCTGACAAAACTTAATTTGATTAATGGATGCATGAGAAAAAGTACGTTACAATAAAAGTATGCGATGTACTCTTACTTTCTTAAGAACATCTCAGACAAAGATGCCATGATTGAAATAATACTTCTCTATTACATATTTTTAGATAAATCTAAGAGTTGAGTACTCTTCCTTGATTAATTTATAGTCGAATTGCGAAATTCCATTATATTCCATTTGGTAAAAAAGGATTAAAATGTGTAATGGCGAAACAAATTTTGATTGAGATAACCTTTACATCCTATCTCTTTTCAAGACAACTTTAAATTGTAAATAAGTAACTTAAGTATATACGTATATTATGTCGAGATCCCATAACCATGAATTTCCGATTTCCCAATTGCAGTAAAGTACGAGTCATGATACTGGCAAAGAATAATAAATGATACACAAATCACCAAGGGTGGAAAAACAAAAATATCTCAGATCGCAGAAAATGAGCATGCAATCTTAGAGATTTTTTGTTTTCTCTTGTAAGTTAATACGAATTAATACCAATCCTACGGTGAGAGGAAGAATTTTCGTTCGACGAAGCAGGATGAAAGTTCCTTCTTTCGGCGTAGTATGGTACAGAAAATGTTGTAAGCCAATAACTTGCGCCAAAACTGTTGACTCTAATAACCTTACGAACTAAGAAATTTAACCCAGTAACTCAATTACTCTATATTTCGTTAATAAATAAGAACATGTTAACCATTTTACTATCCTGGCATATTTTAAGGGCTGGAATAAATAAACACTTAAAATAGATCTTTAGTTTTTGGAGATGGGAGTAATGGATTTTTACTAATTCAAATATTTTTTTTTTTTCATTGTCCCTGATTTACATAAGCTAAAATTTTTGGAACCTGGTTGATCTTACGACTTTCCTTTCTTTGAGTATAACTCCAGTTAATTGGTGGTGGTAACAATTGGCTAAGAATATTATCTGTACCGAGGAAACTCTGAAATTAGGAACCAACACACAAACAATGTTAGTGTTTATATGTCGGAGGGCGGGTTCGTTGCCCTGTGTAAAAGAGCGAAGTTGCTCAGATTGCCGATTATATAAAATATTTAAAATAATTATTATCAAGTTTCAAAATTTATCTGTTATATAATCAATTGATTCCTGCACAATATACAGCAATTGTTTTTTGATTATTACTTTATTGAGTTCTCATCGTTCCCTAAATATTCTCTTAAGTTAATTAATTTAATGTCTTTTTTAACTTATTCAATATCTTTCTAAATCTAATGTCCTTTTTAATTTATTCCTGCCCTTTTTTGGGTACACACAATATTCTCAGTTCATATAAACAATTTCATAAATATCTTAATAGCTATTAGTCTAGTTTTTATTTTAAACAATAAAAAAGGAACTCGCAATCATACGTGGAGGGGAAGGTTTGCCTAAATAAGTACAATCAATTTGTTTTCAATTATCTTGTATTAATTCAATTATATGATTCTAAGGAAATTGTATCTTCAATTTCTACATGTATTAATTATATTTGAGTCATCGTGATTATTTACGTTAATAATGAAAAAAGGAAATATATAATATACTCGATGA